TAATGATTGACAATAATTCCTTAGTTGTTCACTATCCAATGAATGTGCTGCTCGATTTTCTTGAATTGTTTCGATTTTTGCACTTGGAAGGCTACAAACTTCTGCATTTGGATCACGTTCTTTTTGTTTTTTTCTTTCTTCTTCTTCTTCATGAAGAGCTCTTTTATATTGAAGACAAGGTATTGCACTAACAGGTACTTCATGTTTTCTCACACTGCCAGGTCCAAGAAAGTATGGTTTTGCAAGAGTACAAACTCTACTTTGCTTATGTAAATACAAAGGCATTCCACTATTATGTGTCACCTGTACCCAACCTTCTGGAAGTACGTCAAAGTGATTATGTCCAATTTCTGTAAAAAAAAATAATATTATTATAAATTATATATTATATAAATTTTTTCTCTTATAAATAACAACATTAAAAGTGATAGTGTTATTATAATTTTTATACAAAATTATAATTTTTTTATATTAAATATTTATTAAAATACTTAATCTGCAAAACTACTTACCATCTAAGACAAGTTTTACTTTTTCTTCATATGGTACACTATCCTTCTTGTCTTTTCTTTTGCCTTTAAATTCTTCTGGTAAACCTAATAGTAGCACATAATACTTAACTAAAAAAATACTCTGCAGCTGCATGATCTATATAAGAAGTACAAAAATAAATAACAAATAATCTTTTTTTTTTTTCCTCTTTATAATTTTATCTCAGATATGTGTAATTATCAAACTTTTGTAATTTAAATCTATTTTTATAAATTTCTATTATATATTGTATTTACTATAATCTATTTAATATCTTTTATACTTTACCTCAGAAAATAATAAAAATATTTATTTCCATAATTGATTGGTCTGAAATATTAAAGTTTACCTTCTTCAAGCATGGCTTCAATTTCTTCATCAGGTACATCAGAATCCATACTTTCATTAGTATCAGAATCCATATCACAGCAGTTTTGATCTGGATGGCGTTCTAAATCATCCAAAACATCAAATTGTCTTAAATCATCTGTAGCTGTAATACTGTCTGGATTAGATTCCATAATACAATCTTCAGTGGTAGAACCATTGTATATATTTATATCATCAGTAGATATAGTTTCTTCTTCCATTATATCACTACAATTACTTTTATCTGACATTCTACTTTGATTATCAGTATTTATTTCCAATATGCTTTGTTGATTATCCAAAACTGTTTCGTTTATGTTTTCAGTTTGAGCCATAGTTGATTCAGGAATCTCTTCAGGAACTTCTTTATTAATCTCCATTATATGTACAAAGAATCTGCTAAAATACTGTAAGATCTAATTATCTGTAGTACATAAAATTTTAATTATAATAATCTTGACTAGATATTTAGCTTATTTGTATAATAATAAGCAAATTATCAATCATTCTTTGTGTGCAGCAAAATTTATTATTTAAAATATTAAACACAATCTCTGTATATAATAACCCATGGATTAAATAATATTAAGCACGTTGTATGGCCACACCACTTTCACCAATGAGGCCAAAGTCCAATCAATTTGAAACCACTTTAAAAATGGCAACGAAAATTGGACATTTGCATTAGTGTTAGCAGTTTGGGGCCTATTATATATCCATGAGTACATATTGCACAAATAATACATTGTATTGTTAGAATATTGTAGAATGTAGTTGACACAGGTGGTTGCCTCCGAAACTAGACAGGAACAACATTGAAAAATTGAACCTGTTACTAGTCCGAATTATGCACTAATGGTAAAAAATTAAATTTATTAAAGTAATATGTGAAATATTCTTCTCATAATAAGCTAAACAAATTATATAGAATTTTTATTTTTTTATTTATATTAATAATATATAATAATTTAAAAAATATATATATAAAATATTTATAAAAATATAATATATTATTACAAAGATATGTTAAAAAACATATAAAGTTCTAATTATATAAATTTTATTATGGAATTTTTGATTTCATAATTCATATAAATTAAATGAATATATAATTTAAAAAAAAACTTGTTTTAAATTAAATCATAAATAAGAAATTATTAAATGAATTCTTTTATTATAATATAATAATGCATAAAAAGCATAATATTTTAAAAATATCTGAATTTATTTTTTATATAAAAAAATTTAAAAAACAAAAACAGATGATTTTCGTGTTTAATAAATCATATAAGTAAATATTATGATACATCATCATTAATTTCATGTAGCTCTGTGAAAATACCTTTATTTATGTATATCTCAATATATATATTTTTGAAAATTATAAACACTGTAGTTCACTTTAATATGTAGAATTAGAGATAGAGATTATTTCAAATATTCTCATTTACTGAAAATTTCTTAATATTTGTAATTTTAGAAAAAAATTTTTATAAGTCTTATTTGGAACACATAATATCATAAGCACTTAATTATTTAAAATTAAAATAAAATTATATTCATTTTATTTATAATTTTAATTGCATTTCACGAAATAACACAATGGAATAGAAACTTTTATATGCTTTAACACTATCTTACATTACATGCCTAATCTGTGCTCTCGTTATATTTAATAATTTCTTTCTTCTCAATAGCGCTGATGTCTCTTCTTATTCTGAATCGATAATATCGCATGTGATATAAGAATGATAATGGTGACTATACAATCTTATTGGTGAGTACATATATACCATAGACAAGGTACAGCAATAGATTTAATACTCAATGCATTTTTTATCTTATGCCTTTTTATCATTTTAATATTATTTTTAACATTGCTAATTCAGAATAAGCTTGTATGTGATATAACATTGAAAAAAAAGATGTTGAATCTAAATTTCATTAAAATTATAAATGAAATAAAACAAATATTTTGTTATAGAATATTTTTTAATATTTATTTATTTAATATTGTTTAATATTTAGATAGAGATACATTATAAAGTTAAGAATATAATATTATTTTTCTTATATTAAAAATTAAAATGCAATCATGATTTAATTTAAAATATTAAATTCATCATTAAGTCATTAACACATTGCATTACTTCATTTATGATTATGCAATAAGAATGAATATAAATAAAAAGAAAATATAAATAATAAAAAAAAGATAAACTTAAAAAATTGTGGAATCAGTATCATTTTTAAAATGCTTTAGATGAAACACAAAAATAAAATAAATAAAATAAAAGTAAAGAAATAGAAATAGATCGTTAGTGCCATCTTTTGAGTATTTTTGAAAAAAATTTGCATTTAAAATAATATAAACAATTTAATTTAAAATGATATAAACAAGATATAAAAATGTCTATATCTATTATAAAAATATCTTTATCTATATAATTTTATCTAGTCTATATCTAGATTTTGGTATTGATCTTCAGTTCTTATCTTATTTTGTTTTTAGTATTTAAAAGATATATTCATAACCAATTCTTATCTTATTTTTCTTTTTCTTTTATTATTTATTTTCTTGTTTATATAAAGTGTGCAAAATTTATAGTTAAAAGATTATGATTTTATTCGAATTAAGTAATAAAAATATGATAATATATGATAATATATAATATATAAAAAATTGAATGATAAATTTATTCTATATTTAATATAGTATTATTTGATCATATTTTGATATTTTTCATATTTAATTTTTCATATTAACTAATTATTAACTAATAATAATTAATTTCACAAAATACTAAATATCTTTTTATAAATTTTTTGCATTGCATTGTATTATATATTTTTCAAATCTTTAATTTTCAAACTATATTTTTCTTTATGAAATCAAAAAATATTTTCATATATTTTCGTATACATGAATAAGAAAATTAATTTTGATTAAAAATTAATTGAAATTTCATGATTTTTTATAATTATTGTAATTTTTATTATTATTTATAATTGATATTTTTTATAATTAAATTTAATTTTAGCTTGAATTATTTGTGAACCTCTAACTATTAACATTCCAGAGATTTGCAAATTACGTATTAAAAATTATTGTTCTGAATAATATAAGTAATATACAAGTATAAAATAAATATATAATTCAAAAATTGAATTAAACTAAAATTTAAATTTCTAAATATATATAATTTTAATTTTATTACATTTTTAAAATTATTTATAAATAATTACAGATCTTATAATTTTTTTTTTATTTAATATATATGAATACATTTAAAATTATTCTATGAAGAAAAGATATATAATTACATATATTTTTTTACAGGTATTATTTTTTTTAATATTTATTTTTCAATCTTTTAAGCACATCAAAAACAAAAATCACTATTATTGCATGTAATTTTATTTTTTTTAAAAACCAGATAAAAATATTTTATTATTTTAATTCAATTAGCCATATAATTTATATTTAAGTAGTAATATTCATAACTTTTCAAAAGTATATATGTGTTTATATGTGGCTGTAAATTCTTTCATTTTATATTTTATATATAGCACTTAAAATGTTGTTTGTAGAAATATTTACAGTTCATATGATATTTAAATATCCTATATATACAAAGCATCAATAAATATTTAATATCTACATTGTTCATTAAATATTATTGACAAAACAATCATATTTAAATTTTGTTATTAGCATTATAAATTTTTATATGCATAAGATAAAAATTATTTTAAGACAAACAAATATTTACTATTGATCTAATATTTAGTGATCTATTATAATATAATTTATCTAGAATAATTATGAGCAAAACTTTCTACATGAAATTATTATAATAATTTAATTTGCTAAATAGAACATAAAATTTCTATTAATTGCATGAAATAACAATAATATGTAATATATATATTCGTAAATTGAGAAATTAAAAAATGAAACTATATCTTTTGAACATTCGTTCAAAATACAACTACAGAATAGCTTAATGTTTAATAACAAAATTGTTATTTTTGTTAATTATTTAATATTGTGAGGTAGTTATATGGAAATGAATATTTAATATTTAATATCCCTCTTATAATTTAATATCCCTCTTTTTATTTGATTTTTATCTTGTGTAACTTAAGCTTAAATCCAAGCAATTCTGAAAGCACTCCTGAAAGAGCAGATAATAATACTACTTTTGTAATTGTATATAAATAAGGATTAGCTGATAAACCTGATATTTTAAATGGACATTCAAGTTCCTGAAAATATATACTGATTATTTGATTTAATCATTTTATTTCATAAATTCAATAATAAATTTTTATATTACCTTTATCAAATCTGCTGCTAATTTGAGCACATTATTTGCTACCATAAGTTCTTCTTTTTTATGTGGTTTTTGTTCTATTTGCAAATATAAATTAATCTAAAAAAAATCAAACAATATTTTGACTTAAAATAAAGAATATGAATAATCCATATATGACATAAAAGAAAATTCATTTTATTAAAAAAAAATTACCTGTTCAGTAATCAAAACAGAAAGATTTCTATATTTTTTATTAATTTTTGTACCCAATGTCATGAAACGTAATATAAATATTCCAAGAGAAAAACTCCAAAACAGTGCTTCAACATTATATCGGGAATGCAAACTTTCAAGATCCTACAATTCATAAATATTAATATTATACTTATAATAATTTCATTTCAACATTTTTTTATTCTTTTTTTTTTACCTTAATTAGTTCCAAGCTTACAAATGATAACAACAATAAGGTAACAATAAATACTGCTGATATTATTACATCCACAGAACGTTGCGGTCCTCTTCTCTATAATATATTACATTATATTATATTATATTACAATGAATTATTATTTACAAAAAATATAAATTTCAATATTAAAGATATACTAAAAATATAAAAATAAAATTCTTTTTTTATTTTACCTTTAAATAAGACCTAACGCTTAACCATAATTTTATATTGCGTACTTTATTTAATCGAAAATGCGGTAAATCAGATTTTCTGGCACGTCTTGATGATGTCAAGTGTGAAAATAATTTTGCATACAAGAGTCTTTGTTTGTAAGTACGTTCTGCAACTGCTAATAAAAAGAATAATAAAGAGGATAATATAAGTCTTTCAAAGGCTGATATAAGTACTACAGTACGTTCCCTGAAATTAACGATAATTATTATTTTCTTCCATAAATATTATTTTAATATTTTTTTAATAATAATATATTTTATTACATATAAAATAGTTTTTGTTATGTTCAATTTATTGATTATACAATTATATAAATATATATGTATATTTACCAAAGAGTTGTTCCAAATGCCAAATCTATAACTTTAGATAAAATATCGCTATATGTTTCCAAATTGACATAAGTTAAGTCATTTGGTATTAAGGAACTAGTTACATTGCTACTATTGTCCATCCCAACATGATCACTCAATCGTTTGATAGATGGTATTAAAGATAATACCACACTAAGCATTAGGCCTCCATAAAAGTAATTCATACTTTCAGGCATTGATTCTACCCTAGCAATAATAGCCGAACTGATATCCAGCACCGATAGTTCAGCCTTTTTTATATCACGTCGTGTCCATATAGTACATGAGACTAAAATATACAGAATTCTTTTTTATTAAATAATAGATTATATTCATTGTTAATTAATTTTAAATTTTATATCTATATTATAATTTAATATCTTACCACGATCATATGAAGCACAGTTAGAACTAAGCATCATTGAAGGTGGTAATTCAAATTCCCAAGAAAAAGGATGTTCAACAAATTCTCCATAATTTTTATTAGTTTCACTATGTAGATCAGATTCTTCAAGTTCTGAACTGTAAAAAATTTCAATTTTGAAGCGAATTTTATTATTAAATTATATTAATTGATATAATAACATACATATATATATTTACATATTTTTATATTATATTATATGAACAAAAATTAATATTCATTATCTTATCTGTTTTGATTTCTTTTTTTTTTTACTAAACAAAAATATATATATATATAATGACTATTTTATATTAATAGAAATATATTTTTATTTATTATATATAGAATAATTTTTTTATTAAGTATAATTTCAATTAATCCATCAATTAATAAGATTAATTATATAAGATTTAATATATATAATAATTAATTTAAATATATATAATATATTAATTTCATAACAATATTTAAGTATTCACCTGTAACTACATTCATCACTATTTGTAGTCACTCCCATCCATTCTGTTGCAGATGTTGTAGCTTCTGTTAAATGATTTGTAACTGTTTCTTCACATTCTCCTTCTTCTTCACTTTCACATTGTTGGTGTCCTTCTCTTGATCCTATTCCCATTAGACAGTGATCTTTATCCTTTAAATAATAACTCAACAAATTTTAATATATTTATATTTTATTACAAAAATAAAATAGATTTATATATAAAACATATTCATTTAATATAATGAAATATATTAAGATGAATAAATATTCTAAAATATTAATTAAATATTTTATAATATTTTGTAATATATTTAATTTATAATAAGAAATCAAACATTATTTTCATTGAATCCGACTTTGAAAATTGTAAACATAATTTATATAATAATAATATAAATTTATATATAATATAATTTATATAATATTAATAATATATTATAATTAAAAAAATAAAATAAATAATATTAATAATATATTATATATATATATATTATTTAAAAATAATTAATATATTAGAAAAAAATTAAAGAAGACATACATTAATTATTAAAATTATAAAATTATAATTTTATAAAATTATTTGTACATTTATTGATATATTTTTATGTATATAATATAAAAAAATATAAATTTAAATATAAAATTATAAAATTAAAATTATAATAAAAATATAAAATAGTTGTAAATTAATTTTAATTAGTATTGTAAATATAAATTATAATTAATATTATAAAAAAAATTGAACGAATTTTTTTTAATATTATATTATTTAAAAAATCAAATTTACATTACTTGTAAATTAATAATAATATTAATAATAAGAAAATAAGAAAAATAATTATGGAAATATTAGAAACTAAAATATTTACCATCTTATTAGAAGTTTCTGGTTCGCTATTTGAAGAATTGTCTCGTGCTTTTAACAATTCAGATGCTGCGTGGAAAGTGGAAGACAATCATTTTAGCTAATAGGCCATTTTACCTTTCCAACAAAGATTAAAGCGTGTTAGCAGTTCAAAACATATAATAAATATCTAACGAGTAAGTAAGGTAAATAAAAAGAAAATAAATTGAAATAAATTGTTATAAAAAAAGATCTAATGAATGAATATGTTTACAATATAAAAAAACATTATTTCAAGTAATTATATAGCATTTTGTATTGTATATTACATATTAAGATAATTATAAAAAATATTTAAATTAAATTTGTTGCAAATCAAACCTGAAAATTTTGGTTGCAAAACTTGTTGACTTGTAGAATCTTCTAACCAAAGAATGCGTTCTTCGTTATTTTTAAGTAAATCCCTTTTCTGTTTAAGCTTCTCTACTGTTGTTTGTGTAGTACTTTTATCATTATCACTAGATACATTTCCATTTAAACTTTCAAATCCATCATCATCTTGATGTACATGTTTCATACTTTGATCTGGAACTTCATCTATGATATGAAAAAATATATTATAGATTTAAACAAAAATATATGATTAATAGCGAAACAGAAAGTTTTAGTACTGTATTAACTTGATTGAGTATGACTAGTTGAAGCCTCATTCATAGATAAAGGATTGTTTACAGTCACATTTATTGGGTCATTATCACAAAATGTTTGAACAGTCACAAATTCCTATAAAAATAAATTATTATATATAAATTTTTTACTTTTATATATTTTAGATTTTAATGAATTATAATTACCTGTGATCGGTTGACAGTCAAAGAATTTTCAATTACAACTTTTTTAGCAAATCGTACAGATGTTAATACTTCATCACTTACTGTACTAGCTTTTTCAGATGCTGTATCTTGAGATGATTTAGAATCCTCATGTAAACCTATAAAGTATATAAAGTATATAAAGTAGATAATACATACAAAATATATATATATAAATAATATATAATATAAATTCACAGGATGATTATGAAATTTTAATAAAAACTCACGTAAGTTTTGTCTTGTCCTTGATTTACCTATTCGACATCTAGTATGTCGTAAACGTCTTACTATTTTTTGTTTACTTTGTCCATCACCTATCATTGGTCCTGAATGAGTTGATACAATATGAGAATGAACAATGCATAAGGTCAACATCATAATAAGAGGTATTAATACTTCTGATGTTGATATAATCTATAAATATATATATATATATATATATATATCATTTTGGTTTTTGTTGATTTTATATATATATATATACACATACAGAAATATATATATGTATAACTAATACTAATTAAGTAATTCGTACATCACTTTCATTGTCCTTCACCATTTGACAAAAATATATACACATATTGATTAATTGCAAACTATATAATAATAAAAATAAAGTAAAGATTTTTAAACTAGTCTGTTGTATCCACCATTTCCTATATAAAGGAAGAAATAATAAACGCTGAAGTGCTAAGCAAGCCACTGTTGACAATCCATGTTTTGGTTTAGCTTTTGGGAAAGAAGAACCTGTATATATTAATATTATTTAAATATAATATTAAATAATTATAAATTAGAATATTAATTAGATATATTAAGAATAATTTTATCATAAAATAATTTAATATAATGAAATCTTAATTATAATTTTTTATTTAATTTATTACCTCGTACGAGATCTACATCAATAAGTTCTGTTTTTAATTTTGCAGTTCTCATTGGTACATGTGTAAATCCTCCAAGAATATGTTGTTCCACAGTTTTTTCCCATTGTTGCTTATCATAGGTACCAATTTTTTTTTGATACCTGAAACATTAGAATCATACAATATATGAACAATTACATAGTTTTGATTGAAATTTGATAAATAGAATAAAAATATCTTACCAATAAACGAGCTCATTCAGTTTCATTTTTGTTGATCGCTATCGTAATTGTACAGAATGACTGTTAATTTTTAATCTTAACCAATAATTGACAATATTTGTGCAAACGGAAGATGATTTTCCGTATACTTCTATTAGTAAATTTAAAAAAAATATTGCTCCCATAATATATAATAATTGTTATTTATTACAAAAAATATTTTTAATTTGGATATTTCAACAAATGATAAACATAAAATACGAACATTTACAATACATTTAATAATTTTACGCCATTGCCTAGAAACAAAATGTTCAGAAGGTTCCTAGCAATAATTGTGCCAATCAAATAAAATTAAGTTTAATCTATGAATGATTATTGTATGTAAAATACTTTTATATGAAGTTATAAGAATATTTCTATGTGTGTGATACTTTTTATAGTAAATGTGTTTGCTATTATAATTGACTCATGAATAGTAACTATGTTACAACATTGCGGAATACATGTTATTACCAATCCAGAATAATATGCAAAAAACAATAATTTTCATTGGTTGTTAATTTAAATAATTTATATTTTCATTAAAATAATTTTGACTTTTCTTTAAGTATTAAATATTTAAATTCATGATTTATATTATATTTTTTTAAAAATTAAAAGGAATTAAAACAAGCAAATTAAATATTAGTATTTTCAAATTATTAGTTTAATATATTTATTTTGTTACTACAATTTTTTAATAATTTTAGCGAAAACTTATATTGTTATAAAAATATAATAAAAATTGAATCGTATATAAAAAATTCGAATTCTTTACTAAATATTTAATTTAATTCATTTTGATATATTATGTTAAAAAAATGTGAATGAAAATTATATTAAAAATAAAATAATTTATGAATTTTTATTTTTATGAATTTATGAATTATGAATATATATTTAACTATTTTAATATGTATAATTATAGTAAATATTTAAAATATTATCTCTTTCATTTTATAAATAAGAAATAAATTACATATTTATTAATGAAATTAAAAACATATGATTCAATATTGTAAAGTGAGCATGTTCCAAATAATGTCAAAGTACAATAGATAGAAATAAATCGTATATTATACCGGAATAATCACCGGTTTATAAGAATTTTTAATGTCATTATCAAGTAATGTCATATTATTATTTTATTTTACATGCATTTACATTATAATTAATAAAATCTGAAATGATTAAATAATCAAAATGTTTCTTTTTGATATGTGGTTATATTTTGGCCTTTTATTTTGGGTAAATGGACTACATGAATACGAAAAGAAAGATTTAATTATTCTAAGAGAAGAAGTACGATCTATGTTTGATCATGCTTATTCAAGTTATTTGACATATGCTTATCCTTACGATGAATTGCGATCATTAAGTTGCGATGGATTCGATACATGGGGTAGTTTTTCATTAACCCTTATCGATGCTTTGGATACTCTTGCCGTAATGGGCAATTTTTCTGAATTTCGACGTGTAGCAGAAATTATAAGTGCAAGAGCAAATTTTGAAGCTAATATTAATGTATCTGTATTTGAAACTAATATAAGAGTAGTTGGAGGATTACTTAGTGCTCATCTTTTGTCACATAAAGCAGGCATTCACTTGGAACCAGGATGGCCTTGTAATGGTCCACTATTACGTCTTGCTGAAGACATGGCAAAACGTTTAATTGCAGCTTTTGATACTCCAACAGGTATGCCATATGGTACTGTTAATTTGAAATATGGAGTACCTGAAGGTGAAACAAGTATCACTTGTACTGCTGGAATAGGTACATTTTTATTAGAATTTGGAACGTTATCCAGATTAACTGGGGATCCACTATATGAAGAAGTAGCTATGAATGCTATTAAAGCATTACATTATTATAAATCAAATATTGGATTAGTAGGTAACCATGTAGATGTATTAACAGGTCATTGGACAGCTCAAGATTCTGGAATTGGTGCAGGAGTTGATTCTTACTTTGAATATTTAGCAAAAGGTACATTATTATTTCAAGAACCACTATTGGGAACAATATTTCATGAGCATAAAGCGGCTATTGAAAAATATATTCGCCGAGAAGATTGGCATTTATGGGTTTCTATGACAAAAGGTCAAGTGACTTTACCAGTATTTCAATCTTTGGATGCATATTGGCCTGGAGTATTAAGTTTGTTTGGTGAAATTGGAGATGCTATGAAATCATTACATAATTACCATCGTGTTTGGAAACAATTTGGATTCACACCAGAATTTTATAATATACCACAAGCTGAAGCAGGTACTAACAGAGAAGGATATCCATTAAGACCAGAACTTATAGAATCAGTTATGTATTTATATAGAGCAACAGGAGATCCTTATTTGATACAAGTAGGAGTAGATATATTAAGAAGTTTGCAACATAGTGCTAAAACTACATGTGGTTATGCAACTATTAATGATGTTAGAGATCATCGAAAAGCTGATAGAATGGAATCCTTTTTCTTGGCAGAGACAACAAAATATCTTTATCTTCTTTTTGATCCTGATAATTTTATTCATAATTCTGGTCAAAAAGGAGAAATTATTGAAACACAATGGGGTCAATGTATTATTGATGCAGGAGGATATATTTTTAATACTGAAGCACATCCTATTGATCCTGGAGCACTGTATTGTTGTCATAGAAGCCAGAATTTATTTTCAGATCAGAAAGCAACATTATGGAAATTTATTCCTGTAAATGATCAAAAAGAAAAAGATAATACAGAACATAATATAATACATTTGAAAAATATTAAAAATGAAAATAATGAAGAATCAATTGAAATTGTAAAACTATCTGAAATGAGGCATACTTTTACAAATGATATAGAAAATAACATTGATGAGAATTCAATTAATCCTTTATCAGCTATAAATGGTAAAGTAGATGAAACTATAACAATAGAAGAAGATAAAATAAACATAAATAATCCAGAAGAAGAATCTTTAAAAGTACAAGTTGCTGCACCTCCTTCAGGAATTTATAAAGCTGATGATAGTGAAAATATTGACACTTATGAAACTTATAGTACTTCTGATGAACATTATTCTACCCCTGCTATGATAAACAATAATGAATCATTTATTAAACAAAATAATATAAAATTAAGATTTGAACCTCAATTATTACTTGAAAATATTAGAAAAAAAATTTATATCCGACAAATAATACTGCAAAATTAAATTATCATCTTCTGTCTTGTCAATCTCAGTCATTCCTACAGCGAATATCGATTATAGGAGAATTTTTTTAATATTATTT